CACCCACACGAAGAAAACTCATTGCAAAAAAATCCTGATTTTGGAATAGTGATAGTGTTGAGTGCAAGGTTCCACAAACACTGATGTGAAATGAAGCCTTCTTTGCACAGACACCAGACCTGCAGCTCCCCTGGAATGTGCAATGGGATGAGCTTTTAGGGAAGCAGACTGAATACATAACCAATGTCGAGACTGGCAACAGCACACCACAGTCACAACCTTTCAAGGATACTCTCCTTTAGCATCTTGATACGAAAAAAAAAATAGATATATGAAAAAGGATTGAGACCTGGCCTCAACTCTACATTTCTCAACCTTCTTGATGCAAACCAATCCCTTGCTGTGACATCACGTTGTGGTACGGTCCTACTTCCTTGTTTATGCACAGCATCTTTATTCTGACTTTATTGCTTAAGACACCAACTCTGCTGGGAAGACACAGCTGCCTGGAAAAAGGAGCTGCTCCCCACACAGGAGCCAGGTCAGTGTATGTGGAAGACCAAAGCAGGACTCCTATACTATAGCACCTAGGAATAGGTCTCAAACCCACAGGAAAAGCCCTGCTGCAGGCCCATGCACAAGAACAGGATCACTGGGACCTGAAGGGTGTTTGTTGCCCTCTTGGGCCTGCCCCTACTCCTACCCTGAGCTGCACTTCAGCTACTGTAGACTCTGCTCACAGGTTCAAGGGTGTCCACCGAGTGACTGGCAGAAGCAGCACCGGAGGCTGGTCTGTGCATTTGGTAACAGTTTACAAGTCTTCTCTAAACATGATCAGTTGGCCAACTACAGGCAAATCTGATTTGGCAAATCCATATCTCTGATTTTTTTCCCCTGTAAGTCACACCACCACCAGTGGGGTAAGGTCTCCCACTTCTCTGCCGAGGCCAGCAGAAGGCTGGGTCTTGTCCCTGGACACCATGTGCTCCCTTGCCACAAGCAGAACAGGGTCTCAGGCACAACGTGAGCAGCTGTAGTGGGGAGAAAAGAAGGTGGAAGGGTGGGGGAGAAGGTGGCCATAAGCAGACACCCATCAATTGCTTGTCTGAGGATCGACTCTTCAGGGTTGCCAAGTTAACTAACTCCTACCCACCATAGCTAAGAGCTTTGAGTACAGAAAATAAAATTTAAAAACAAAAGGTTGTCTCAAACACCCCCAAGCAAGTTATGGTTTGGGGTTAACCGCAAACCTTCTGGAAGCCAGGGAAGAGAAGGCATGCTGACAACCATAAACCAATTTCCTGGAACAGTCTTATGAGGAACCTTCTCCAGCCTTCAATCTGACACAGAGAAGTCTGTGAGATACCAAGGTGGACAGAGAAAGGGAACAGGATGGTGGGATGGGGGTAGAGGGGAACAGTAGATCGGTTAATACAATGGAAGTCTAACACTTCTAACAGTTCCTCTCCCACCCATCGCCCTGCCCATCAAGCTTTCATACAGGGACATCTTCTCAAAACCAAGAGGGGAAGAACACCACCAAACAAAAACCTTAGTGAATTTTGTCACAGGGCCCTCCTGAAAGAAGGATCAACCATTTGCACATTAGAAGGACATGATCCCTATGCAGAAAGTGCTGCTGGAAAAGGAGAACTCCGAGTCGTTAAATATGGCCTGAATGCTTTCAGGACATGATGTGTAACAAGGAAAAGCTTGAGGTCCAGGCTGAAATCAGAGAAGAAACGCACTGTCTTGTCTGGGCTTGTGAGTCCAAGAGCCCTGTGAGTCTCTCCCAGAACGCAATTGTGTCCCACGCTCAGTCCATCTCCATCGACATTAGTCGGCGACGCTCTCGTCTTGTTTCCTGCACTTCCTTCTTGCAGCACCAACGGGAGCTGCAGTAGCCAATGAGGCAGGATAAGAGTCCAATGACAGTGGCCAGGCCAATGCCAATCAACAGGGGATACTTGAAAGCATTCAGAACTGAAAGAGGAAGGCAAAATTATTAGATACGACTGAAAAATTCACATATCCCCTTTATCTATTCTTGCCTAAGTAAAGGAGAAAATCCCACATTGTTCAGTCATGGGCAGATTAATTATTTCAAGAAGGAAATTGTGCTGATTTTCTTGATTTCTTCTTTTGAGCTTTGGAAAATTAGCCTCTTGCTGGACTCCCTTACCTCCTCACCCTAATTCTTCCTCCACCATTTCAAAGCCTCACAGAGGCTGGAAGCACCAGGGGAACCTTGCAGTGAGACAGAAAAGTAGATCTAGTTCCAACGGGTATTCCATTACCTGGTTCCTCCAAACAAAAGCCTTGCAAAATTTCCCTGTCAGAGGCAGACTGTGGCTGCACACTCTAACATTTCCGAATGGCAAGGAGACGACTCTTCTACACTTCACTTGAGAGCTACTCGTACAGTACATTCACTGCCACTCGGCAACTCTCTCTGATCAGCCTTCAAAGTTGGTAGCTAAACAAGAAATTTGACTTGTAGGCACCTACTGCGCAGTTAAAAGGCAGAGTCAAGAACTGTAAAGTAGAGGTATCATAGTTATCTGCATAGTAGGGACTGTGCAAAAACTTGTGCTTCCTTTCAAGTTCATGGAACTTCCCAATATAACATTTCATGGGAATACTGAGAAAGCAGCAACTAGTTCAAATCCCCTTCTACATTCATTTTTCTCCTTCGTTATGTGCCAAATGCCACATCCAGCATGCAACTTGCTTTTCATGAGCCCTAGCAACACTTGCAGTTCAGGTTGGAAAGCAGACAAGGCATTAAATGTAAGGAGTAACACGTCTAGTGGTTCGGAGAAGGAGGAAGGACTCAGAGCTGTGGCTTTCTTTTCTCAGCTTTGATATTAACCACAACATGACTCTACTTCAGCACAGTCCATCTGCAAACCAAGGGTCCCTCCTGTCGGCAACAGAAGGGTTAACACTTGGAGAGAATACTACGCCTTCATTGAAAGATGCCCCAGCTTTGTAAAACATCACCAAGAGACGATCAGGAAAGAGAACACTCCAGTCTCACGAGTATGATCTGTTCAGGCCTACCTAGTCTACAGAAACTGGAATCAGAAGTCGCAAACTATACAAAATCTAAGATTATCACAGGCACCTTTAAAAATAGCCATGGGGAACGTACGTCAAAGACACAACAAGGTGTTAAAAAAACGCGGCATAACACACGTTGCGATCTCTTACCGTCCATTTTCACAGACAGAAAGATGGGTTTGGCTTTGATGTCAGGTTCCCGCTGCCATACGCCGGTGGCAGATTGCACCCACGGCGTCACTACGCAGTAGTGGTTCCCAAAGTCGTGGTCCTCGCAGCTGTGCACGCGGAGCCGGAATTCCAGTGGGCTGATTCTCTCCAGGCTGAGATCGCTGCTTCCGTTTCTCCTGCTCTGCGTGACAATCCCTCTCCTGTCCAGCGAGGCCAGCAGGATGGGCTCTCTGTCCAACGCAAAGGAGCGCACAGCAAACCAGGAGACATCAAAGGACATATCATCTGCATTTGAGGGCAAAGAAGAATTGGGACATGTTGGTGAGCTCTGAAGAGTATTCACAGAGCCCCTGCTCAGCAGAGAGGTTAACCTGCAAGCAGCACAGCCAACACTGGTCTGACAGTGGAAGGAAAAAAGAAATAAGAAAAGAAAAGAGTGCCCTGAACATGTCCTTTCTAAGAGGGTTCAAGCAGTGAACTGCAATGAAATGCTCTGGCAGAAGAACACAGCTGCACAGAAAGGGAGACTTACTACAGGGATGACAAAAAGGAGATTTCTTGCTTTCCTGCCTGCCATTCTAAGATTTTTATGTCATCTTTTGTTCTAAGTTTTCACCAAGCAAGCCTAGTGTCATAACAACTCCTATAGCTATACTGAACCTACACTGAAAAGGGATTAGAAGTGCCAGGTACTTGCTTGCAAGGAGTGATTTGCAATCACCATCTTCACACAGGGCTTACACAAGCACAGAGGGATCTTTCCTGAAGAGTAATCTTCATTTCATCTGCCTACATGAAAACAGAGATTCTAAACAGAGCACAAAAAATTACCTACAAAAATAGAAAGCATTCAGGAGCAAAGCCTGACCATGCTGCTTTCATGCATTTTTTCCAGACTTGTGGGTTACTGTCACGCATCATCAGGCATCACGCCTTGTACAAGTTTTACCACCCAAGGAGACAGTCTATAAAACACATTTGTGACACCTTTAACATTCAACACAGCTGACAGGCAGTCAGAGTTCATCAACACCTCTAGCTCTTGCTACCTTCATGCAAGATCCTATTGATCCCATTAGCAGGGCTCAGTCTTTTAACCCTATTAGGCTGATGCAGCTGAGTATCTACTTTAAAAATCACTGCTATTCTTCGCCACCGTGAGCCCAGCAACATCTGCCAGAGCCTGAAACCTGGCGTGACCCAGAGCATAGACAGGAAAGCCTGGTCATTTGTTTCATCGACAGGTTTTCCTTCCTGGCACATGAGCAAACTGATGGGCCCAAACTGGAAACAGAGGTTACTATTTCTGTCCCCCGTTTTGTGTACCGGTAGAACGCGCGCACAGGGCTTAACCTTTTCACATGTAAGACAGTCCCAGTGATTTTGGCCATGTATCACACCTCCGTTTGCTAATATTGGGACCTCTGAAAAATACAGTATTAGCAACCTAAAGTTTATTCGTCATCTAGCTGCGTTTGCTCTTCTCTACACTTCCACACTTGATCTCCAGGCTAATGGAAAAATTAAAGCCGTAAACCTGCTGCTGTACTCAAATTCTTTGCAGATATAAATGAAGACAATTTTTCAGCCTCTATCAGTCCAGCTAAGATTTCAGGAAGGAAGGGAAACTTAAGGTAATATTTTAAAGTCAAGTGAAGTAAAGGGACATCCTCAGCTCTGCTACTTGAAGTACAGCATCAGTTGGCCAGGTGGAACATGCCTGCTTCCCGCAGACAAAACCCACCCACCATTTGGGGTACAATTCACTTCCCTATAAGGTGTGCTGGCTTTACGCACATGTTCAAAAACGGAAGAAAAAGATGTGAAAGCAGATGTTACTGCCAGGAACACTGGCTGATCAAACTGTTATGGGCCACCAGCCAGTTTCCTGCCCTGCCTGCCGTGGCTAGCCACTCTGCGTGACAGCACAGAACCTCAGGAAAGCACCTTGCCTGTTCTGCAGTCCTACAGCAGGTTTTCCCAGTCCCACATGGGGGTCAGCGTAGGTCATATGGACCAGCAGCCCTCACAGCAATCACTCTTGCCTACCATACTACTACTACTAATCACTTGGCACAGCACTTGGACAGCTTGCCTCAAAAGCAATGTTAATAAAAATTACCTTAAACGCATGTTCAGTTAGCAGGACCAAATTTTGACCTCTGCTTTGCATACTCATCCAGCTGTGTGGGTAACAGGGCCTCTACCAGAGAGAGCTCTGTTTCTATAAACTACTCTGTCTCTGCTGCCTGTTCATGCCAAATACGGTAATTGCACCGGTCCACAGGCAGTCACGTTGGGAACAACCAATTCCTTCCAAGGATAGTCACAACTGCCATTAGCTCTTCTGTTTCCAGGTACTGTAGGAGCATATGGACACCTTCCAGGCTAAGCCCAACTATGCTAAACACACCACTGTATTTGCTAAAAAAGTTTAAACAATAAATTTAGATATTAAAAAAAATAATCTAGCCTTCAGATCCCAGGCAACTCGCTACCTTTGAGGAATTCCTTCTTTTCAGTCTCAGTTAATTTGAGATTCCCTTCCCTCCACATACAAAGATGAGTGCAGGCACTTGCTGTCATTCTGAAATAGCTGAATCCATCTTCTGTAATTACAACATGGGACAACTGTATTATGCCAACATATTTTATTACTCAGTATACACAGTGTGCAATTAGTGACTCACTACAGACAGTCAGAGGGAGGATTTGGCTCCGAGTACTCTTTGTCACTATCCTCCTTGAAATAGCTTAATACAGCAAACTCATCTGATTCATTTCTATATATCTCTGGTTTTTGTGCAATAAAAACACAGGAAAATTTAGCAAAACCAGGACATAAATCAGGGTCTCTCTAAGTATCAGTGATGAACACACCCAACAATTACCAAGCGCTAATAAATATGTAGTTTTACTGGCATAAAACAGGCCTCACTTCCCAAAAGCATCTGCACCATTCTACACACACCTTGCATCGATGTTGACAAGTCACTCTCCAATTTTTGTCCCCAGTCTATAAGAAGCAAACCCAACCACAAGAACCACGCTCACACTTAACACTACAGAGGTTTCTTTTGCCTGTTCCTTCTGTGCTCCACAATGTCGTGACCAGTGCAGGACACCTGGACAAGGTGCCCCACATTCGAGGAAAGCATAACATCCCGGTGCCAAGCTCAGGTCGCCATCAAGGACCTCAGCGCCCCAGGTCACGCAGCTCAACCACTTTTATAAAGGAACACAAAGCACTGGGAGCCGGATGCTTCAGAGCTGTGTGTGCAGAGTAGCGGTGGTGCTACGCTTCCTCCCCGCCTCAGCTAGTGAGGATCATCAACATGGAAAGCACATCTTTATGCACATTTCAATTTGACACACAGGACTAAGCTGTCTGGGTTTTAGCTGCTTCCCTGGCCAATCACTCCTCAAAAGAGGGAATCCTATTTCTAGACCAGCTCTTAGGAACCATACACTTCCACTGCTTAGAATGGAGCTCTCTCAGCATCCTGTTACAGTGCTGAATCACAATTTGGAGACCCTTTTTGTTTACTACATTTAAATGAGGTTGAATAGGGCTTCCTAGAGAGCTGAGCAAACCACTTCAAGCCATACAGGAGGTAAACAAGCTGGTTTTGTTAAATTCTCCAGAGTGTCCAACTGGGCCTGTCTGGAGCAGATAAAAAACCCACATCTCCTTTCAGGCACAGTAAGTAATACTTTCAAACACCTACTCAAACAGCCCAAGAAGGGGTGATCTGGGAAGTCTAGAGAGATCATTTGTGAAAATGTGTATTCAACAGAAATATCAGAAGCAGCTTTTATATCTTCAGGGCACAGAAGAACTACTATTCCCCCCTGACACACATGTACTCCCCTCCTATCAATTCCAAACACCAACCACAGCTGCCAAGCCAAAGGAGCACTTCTTTAGATGGAGCAGTCGCTGCCATGTACTGAGCTAAGTAATACACACTCCATTTCAGCAGGGTCTCAAAGAAGCAGAGGAAATTAAAGCACGCAGCAGTCACGCCAAAACCTTTTCCACCCTTTTGAAAGTTTCCCACAGGGTGGGTACACACACACACAGCATTGTGAATTGCCTCTACCAGACAAGGGTCCAAACTGTAAGTAACACTTCTGGAAACAAATGGATCGATCTAACTGTAACAAAGAAGGGCACTGACAAAGGTCATTGGTCATTTAACTCCTCAGTTCCTCAGAAGTACTTTATTTTTCTGATTGTGCATACAAAGAGGGAGAAGAGGTGGCACCTGACACCTCAATTTATTACAGGAAGCATACATACTAATCCACACGCACACTTGGAAAATTGAGTCCCTATGTGTGCAAGGGCAGAGCTGGCTGGCGTACCAAGTGTGGGAAGTGTGGTTTGGATGTGCATTTAACAAGACGTCCTATGAAACTCCCTCATCCTTCTTTGCTCACAAGAGGGCCCAAAACACAGCCCTGCAGCAGGTCTGACACCAGAAGAGTAGATGGCCTTTGAAGAAAGACTTTCTCCCCTCAGAAGAAAGTCAAATGCAATTGCTCTGCTCTCCTTTCTCATCACATTCTCAAATGGAAAGACCGTGTCTGTACTGCTGTCATCTGTTTTCTTCTAGGAGGTGCTGGCAACTCTTGCTCTGTTTATCTGGTTACTTAGTGTAGGCTTTCCTTAACAACACGACTTATTTCCCCACTGGGATGAGACAGCCCTGTTATTTTCACGGTTGGTCTAATGTTTAGCACCCATTTAAAAAGCAAGTTCTCCATTCCAGTTGTGAATTAAATTGTGATACTCGGTATAGAGACAGATCAGAGATGGGGGTTGGACTAGATCTCCCAAGGTGCCTTCCAACCCCTTGCAATCTGTGATTCTGTAATGGAATACAGGGGAATAAGACGACTACTGAGGAACTACATGTTTATCATCATATGAGCCCTTAAGGCCCTTCTTCACCTAACCTGAACCATTATCCCACTGCTCTAGTCCCCTCCATCTCCCAAGGCCAAGGAGGCAGACAGACAAGGGAAGTCTGCACACTCTACAGCTGTTCCCTGCAGTCCCATCCAGAGGACCAGCAAGTACTGGAGAGGGGCCAGCTTCTCAGGCCTCTGTGAAAGGTCCAGATAGATGGGGCTTCCCAACACAGCACAGCTGGCTAGGCCCCAAATCCTGCTCATTCAGCAAGTGGAGGCTCAGGGCATGGACTGAAATGTTTCTTCAAAACCTGCCACAATGCCACACTTCACTCCATTCTAGGTGTATCCGTTGCCTCATCTGT